CTACCAAACAAACCCGTTATAATAGTTTACATGTAGCATACAGTGTATAGTTTACATGTAGCATACAGTGTATAGTTTACATGTAGCATACAGTGTATAGTTTACATGTAGCATACAGTGTATAGTTTACATGTAGCATACAGTGTATAGTTTACATGTAGCATACAGTGTATAGTTTACATGTAGCATACAGTGTATAGTTTACATGTAGCATACAGTGTATAGTTTACATGTAGCATACAGTGTATAGTTTACATGTAGCATACAGTGTATAGTTTACATGTAGCATACAGTGTGTAGTTTACATGTATCATACAGTGTGTAGTTTACATGTAGCATACAGTGTATAGTTTACATGTAGCATACAGTGTATAGTTTACATGTAGCATACAGTGTGTAGTTTACATGTAGCATACAATGTGTGGTTTACATGTAGCATACAATGTATAGTTTACATGTAGCATACAGTGTGTAGTTTACATGTAGCATACAGTGTGTAGTTTACATGTAGCATACAATGTATAGTTTACATGTAGCATACAGTGTATAGTTTACATGTAGCATACAGTGTGTAGTTTACATGTAGCATACAGTGTGTAGTTTACATGTAGCATACAATGTGTGGTTTACATGTAGCATACAGTGTGTAGTTTACATGTAGCATACAATGTGTGGTTTACATGTAGCATACAGTGTGTAGTTTACATGTAGCATACAGTGTATAGTTTACATGTAGCATACAGTGTGTAGTTTACATGTAGCATACAGTGTATAGTTTACATGTAGCATACAGTGTATAGTTTACATGTAGCATACAGTGTGTAGTTTACATGTAGCATACAATGTGTGGTTTACATGTAGCATACAATGTATAGTTTACATGTAGCATACAGTGTGTAGTTTACATGTAGCATACAGTGTGTAGTTTACATGTAGCATACAATGTGTGGTTTACATGTAGCATACAATGTATAGTTTACATGTAGCATACAGTGTGTAGTTTACATGTAGCATACAGTGTGTAGTTTACATGTAGCATACAATGTATAGTTTACATGTAGCATACAGTGTATAGTTTACATGTAGCATACAGTGTGTAGTTTACATGTAGCATACAGTGTATAGTTTACATGTAGCATACAGTATGTAGTTTACATGTAGCATACAGTGTATAGTTTACATGTAGCATACAGTATGTAGTTTACATGTAGCATACAGTGTATAGTTTACATGTAGCATACAGTGTATAGTTTACATGTAGCATACAATGTATAGTTTACATGTAGCATACAGTGTATAGTTTACATGTAGCATACAGTGTATAGTTTACATGTAGCATACAGTGTATAGTTTACATGTAGCATACAGTGTGTAGTTTACATGTAGCATACAGTGTGTAGTTTACATGTAGCATACAGTGTATAGTTTACATGTAGCATACAGTGTATAGTTTACATGTAGCATACAGTATGTAGTTTACATGTAGCATACAGTGTATAGTTTACATGTAGCATACAGTATGTAGTTTACATGTAGCATACAGTGTATAGTTTACATGTAGCATACAGTGTATAGTTTACATGTAGCATACAATGTATAGTTTACATGTAGCATACAGTGTATAGTTTACATGTAGCATACAGTGTATAGTTTACATGTAGCATACAGTGTATAGTTTACATGTAGCATACAGTATGTAGTTTACATGTAGCATACAGTGTATAGTTTACATGTAGCATACAGTGTATAGTTTACATGTAGCATACAATGTATATTTTACATGTAGCATACAGTGTATAGTTTACATGTAGCATACAGTGTATAGTTTACATGTAGCATACAGTATGTAGTTTACATGTAGCATACAGTGTATAGTTTACATGTAGCATACAGTGTATAGTTTACATGTAGCATACAATGTATAGTTTACATGTAGCATACAGTGTATAGTTTACATGTAGCATACAGTGTATAGTTTACATGTAGCATACATGTGTATAGTTTACATGTAGCATACAGTGTGTAGTTTACATGTAGCATACAGTGTATAGTTTACATGTAGCATACAGTGTGTAGTTTACATGTAGCATACAGTGTATAGTTTACATGTAGCATACAGTATGTAGTTTACATGTAGCATACAATGTGTGGTTTACATATAAAATATTGTTAAGCACAAAGAAAGTCACGAGCATGTATGAACATTTTGGATATTTATGTGCTGGTGATTCCCAAATCCTGCATTTTGAAGTATCTTTAGGGCAATAAGTCTTTCACTTTTTGTTTGATCAACTAGTTGCAGGAGTTGCTATGCGTAACAAGGACCCCAATGAGTCACTGACTTTTTTTTTTTGCCAGAGGGGGAGGGGGGTATTGACACTATGATAAATTGTTAGGTAAGACACATATGCAACAGTTAGGTATCTTTATTATGAAACATTTCGCCTACACAGTAGGCTTCATCAGTCGAGTACAGAAAAGTTGATAGAAGCAGAAGATACTTGAAGACGATGTAATCAGTCCATCACCCTTAAAGTTTTGAGGTGGTCAGTCCCTCAGTCTGGAGAAGAGCATTGTTCCATAGTATGAAACAATATGGAGATGAAGTGACAGGATGGAGCTTATATAGCGCCAAGAGGTGAGACGTAGGCCACTAGGAGAGGTAAGAACTCAGATGTTGAGCGGTCAGGTCCCTCTCAAATCCAGCCGCTCTCACTAGTGGAAGTTGTCGAAGTTGATTGCAGGTCTGTACCAAGATACCCTTGTGTTGCAGTGTCTGACAGATTGAACATTAAAATGGTATAAAATACCGACAGGTTGTTAGGTAAGACACATATGCAACAGTTAGGTATCTTTATTATGAAACGTTTCGCCTACACAGTAGGCTTCATCAGTCGAGTACAGAAAAGTTGATAGAAGCAGAAGATACTTGAAGACGATGTAATCAGTCCATCACCCTTAAAGTTTTGAGGGACTGAGGGACTGACCACCTCAAAACTTTAAGGGTGATGGACTGATTACATCGTCTTCAAGTATCTTCTGCTTCTATCAACTTTTCTGTACTCGACTGATGAAGCCTACTGTGTAGGCGAAACGTTTCATAATAAAGATACCTAACTGTTGCATATGTGTCTTACCTAACAACCTGTCGGTATTTTATACCATTTTAATGTTCACTATGATAAATTGTACCTATGTATACGTGTGCCTAAATAAACTTGCTTTCTTACTAAAGGAATTATTCAGGTGAATAACACCTGTTTCCCAACATAGCAACAGGATGAAGCACTGCAGTAGGCCTACTGGTCTATGCTAGACAGGCCCTCAAGTCCAACCCTGCTTAATCATACATTTGTAATCATTTTTTAAAGGTACTCAAGATTTAACCTTCAACACATGTAACCTGACTGTGCACCTCACTACACTCCCCATGTACTATATGCTCATCCAGGGTTCTCCATAACTTGAAAAAATTCACTGCCTAGGTGAAATATTGTCAGTAAAAGATTGCATTATATTTTATTTGTGTGTATCCAGTTACTCTGGTCGCCAATGTAACTTTCTCTCTAATTTGCTGGAACACTGTCTTCATAGTTAATAATATGTAAAAAAATCTAAAATAGTATAGGGCACTTGTATTGCTAACAAAGGCAGTAAACCCTCATGTCTGATTTATGCAATTGTCACATAGGTTACTGCTTTCATCATGGTAATCTGTGCCCTACAAAAAATCAAGAAATCATCAAATTATGCAGGATACAATAGTAAGATTCATTCTGGACCATGGCAAATTGTAAAATGTAGAATGTAGAATAAGCTTCAAAAATTGGAATTATTCAAAGCAGCAGATAGGCATAGCTCAGGCTGAATCTTGACTACATAATTGGAATGGTGGTTATCTTGCTGATGTTCCCAGGTTGTTAATTGATCAAGACACTTTAATATTTTCCTACTGACAAAGAGTTCTTTTATGTAATTTAGTTTAGAAAGACACGTAAGCAAACACTATAACATATTTATTAGAAAACGTTTCGGTCCCAGGACCGAAACATTTTCTAATAAATATGTTATAGTGTTTGCTTACGTGTCTTTCTAAACCAACTTGTCGGTATTTATTACCAAGGTTTATACCATGTAATTTAGTAAAGCTGTTGGCTATTACTTACCTAACACAACACATTTTGTTATAAACCTTGCTCATGTGTGTTTATAAACCACTAGCACACATAACTTAACCTTTACTTAAATTATACTGTTGGATAACTTATGATTATATGTTAACAAATTGCTGAACTTACTGTCTGGTTAACTCATTGTTGGTGATTTGACAAGTTAGTGTTGTCACCTAACATCCAAAATTGCTAACTGTACCTAAACTATCATGCCAAAATCAATATTGTACTAAGGAATATGAACATAGTATTGTAGGGGCCCCTCTGTACATGGCCAGGCACCTATCCATCCCAAAGATTGGAATATTTGATGAAATCATAAGGCCATTAATATCATCAATGACCTATATGGTGTTAGCACTTTACATGAACATAATCACAACAATCCCTCAACCCCCTTTCACTGTCTGTTGCATATATGTATGTTATTGGTGACATTGTTGCTTGCATAAATCTACATTTTAAGCACAGTGCCCTCAAATATTCTGTGAGAGGTAAATTTTAGCCTAGGCATGTGGGAATGGGTCTGTGCAGTGAAAGTTAAAGGACAGATCTTAATAATCCTTGAAATGGGGATGGGTGCTTGATCAAAGGAATTGGAGATGATATCTTGGGGAAAAACAAGATTAACTCTCATTCCCAGGCACTGTTTGATCTTTGTGTTAAATGCCTCTCAGTGAGAATATAATAATAATAATAAACCTTAGTTTCACCTGTTTGCTTAAATTGTTTACTTACTGGCTACTTCATATATCATAAAATATTTTACTTTAAACAGATGTATTATACATTTGCAAGAAGTAACTTCTCTTTTGTATTTTGTTGCAGCTGAAAAAGTATTATGTTTCCATGGACCACTTATCTATGAAGCCAAGTGTCTCAAAGTCCAAGTGAAGGATAAACAGATCAAATACTTCATACATTATGCTGGTTGGAACAAAAAGTGCGTACATTTCTTCTTTGGGTTACTGATGATGTGCTTTTGTTGACTTCATAGAGCAGAATAGGGTATTGAAATTCTTTGCATATTTGTTTATCACTGTATAACAGTCTAATACTGTAGTGGAATTGATATAAATTTATGTAGATAAAAAATACAGTAAATGTCAAGTATAGCTAATGCAACCAACTTATCCAGAGTCCAATAAATATTCATACTCATGAACTTATTGTTTTAAGTACATATATTGTATTTCTACCTCCAGTAAAGGTAGTTATTATAATTAACCCTTTGACTGTTTCAGGCCCCTCTCTGAAACTGTCATTCTATGTCGCTCAATTTTTGAAAAAAAAAAAATTATTTTTTCTTATGAAATGATAGAGAATCTTTTCCCGATGGTAATGACACCAAAAGTTCGAAATTTGGTCGAAAACTCGTGGAATTACGCTCCCGCGAAGTTAGCGGTCTCGGCGACATATGCGTATCGGCGATTTCGCCGACTTTGAGCCCTATTTTCAGCCAATTCCATTGTTCCAGTTGACCAAACTCATAGCTATTTCTTTAGAACTCCATTTTATCTATCAGCTGAGTACAAGAAACCTCCCATTTACTAATTTGAAGTACCCAATATGGTGGTCAGAAATTGGCAATTTGGCCAATTTCACACAAACTAAAAAAGATGCCAATTTCAAAATAGGGTCCAGAATAAACAAGATAGACATTCGTGGCACTAAAATAACATATGCTCTATTCATTAGTCACATCTCTAGGCCCCTCTTATATTATTATTGCTTTCTATTTTGATTTTTTATTCATACAAAAAAAACACAAAATTTACTGTTATGCAGACGACTGCATTATTGTAAAAATGGTATAAATAATATCAGTGCACTAGTGAAAGAATATTAGACTCCCCAGTTGACGTGTATTGGACGTGTGGTGTGATTTATTTACTCTTGAACATTGGTAAAAATCGAACATTTCCGCTACTTTGAGGTCAGTTTCAAGGTAGTTTTCATTGTAAAAGTAATGAAAATCATCTCTATTTCTGTAATATGTTTTCCATTTTATCACCTAAGACCATGAAAACGCGAATACAACGATAAATACTATACGAAAATACACCTCAAAGTCGGCGTTTTATTCCAAAAAAAACGATCAGAGTTTTTTTTTTCTCATTACGCAATGTGTGCTGCAGGATTTTTTTTATGTGGTGCACACTGACCACACAGACCTATTCTCTCACATGTGGGCCTACCAGCTTTCTCCCGCTTGATTTGAAGCCGCTAGAATTATTGAGTATATATACGTCAGAAACATTGGCTCGTAAGACGTATTTATACGTCGAAAACAGTCAAAGGGTTAAAATTGTTGATTCTTTGCAGTTTTATATTACTATCTCTTCATATTATTATTGCTGTTTTAATAATATCTTACCTAGAATATTATTACGCTCACTAATCTTATCTTCAGATAACTTAATAACTTACTGTATGTTAAACTTAGCATTCCATTAAACTCAATTCAACTATACAGTGGAACTTGAATTTAACAGACTAATGGGAGAGAGAGGTGTGTAAATGCCAAATTAATGGACTAATAGGAAGGGAGGGGTGTCGGTCAATGGTGATTTTTCCATTAAAGAACAAAGAAGGCACTTTACAGTGACTGGAACAATACACAAATAATCCTCACATAGAAGAGAGAAACTTATGACAATGTTTTAGTCTGTTAACTCCATATGATTGCTTTACTTTGAATGCTACAGATTCTGTATTGACCAGACTTTTTCCATTAAATAAAAAATCAACTTGCCCAGTGGACTGCAACAGTAATAGAAAGTAAAATTTAAAGGACTTTACACAAATAACCCGTACATAAAAGAGAGAAGCTTACGACGACGTTTCAGCCCGACTTGGACCATTTACAAAGTCACACTGTGACTTTGTAAATGGTCCAAGTCAGGCCGAAACGTCGTCGCAAGCTTCTCTCTTTTATGTGCGGGTTATTTGTGTATCGTTCCAGTCACGGTATTGTGCTTTATTTTTTTTTGTTATTTAAAGGACTTTATCTGTTCTTTTTGGGTGTTGTTCAACCACAGATTTTTGTCCATTAAATCTGAAACCAATTAGATTATGGCCCGTTAAATCAAGGTTTTGCTGTACAACTGTATAGTGACAAGTATGTAGCTTTAAGTTCTGTTTTTAGTCTCCCTAAAATGTTTTACATAACCAGGATCTTTCCAAAAATGTGTGATATAAAGTTCATTTAATTTTGTAACAATTATGTACATTGTGGAAATAAAATTGTTTTTGTTTTCATTTGGATAAAAGCTTAAGTATTATTGAAAAAGCTGTTCATAAATTATACAGTGGACCCCCGGTTTACGATATTATTTCATTCCAGAAGTATGTTCAGGTGCCAGTACTGACCGAATTTGTTCCCATAAGGAATATTGTGAATTAGATTAGTCCATTTCAGACCCCCAAACATACACATACAAACGTACTTACATAAATACACTTACATAATTGGTCGCATTGGGAGCTGATCGTAAACCGGGGGTCCACTGTATTAGGAAAAAATGGAATACCCTGCATGAACCTTTAATATGTGGATAAGATAGTCTAAAAACCAGCTGCAAATGGCTTCCATGGCTAATACCCTTCAAATTGGATTTGATTGCCTTTCATTTCCCAGGGCTATATGACCTACTAGGTTAGTACTTCCTGATATATGTACAGTGGAACCTCAAAAATCGAACGTATCGCATATCAAACATTTCGAAAATAGGACCATTTTTTTGGACAAACTGTGTCCCTATTATCGAACCTGCCCCTATTTTTGGACCGCCGGGTACGGGACCTGTCTGCCGCCCGCTCTGTCCGCGTCCCAGCACAGGCGCCGTGAGCAGTCTAGCTTTGTTTATGCTTGAGTGAACACTAACCTGCGCTCTCATTCACGCATTTTACGATTATTTCGTTGTGTTTAGTGCTTGTGGGACTGTGAAATAAGCTGCCATGGGCCCAAAGAAACTTGCTAGTGGTACCCCTGTGGTAAAGAAAGTGAGAAACACCATAGATGTGAAGAAGGATATAATACAGAAGTATGAGAGTGATGTGAGACTTGTTGAGCTTGCCGGGATGTATGGGAAAAACAAGTCGACCATTGGTTCTATCCTGTCAAAGAAAGAACAAATCAAGGAAGCTGATGTTGCGAAAGGTGTTAATATAGGGAGTGGATGAGGTGCCTTCTTCAAAGATTAAGGAGATTTGTGCCAAGTGGAATGATGTCCAAATGTTTGTGCAGAAGTACCACCCTGAGCAAGCTGAAACAAGCCATCTTTGCAACAAGTTCAGTGACAGAACCATGTCCCATTTTAGGGAAATGTTAAAGAGGCGCCAGAAACAGAGGACTGTGGACAGTTATTTTGTGAGACAGGGGTCCAGTGACTCTCAAGCTGGTCCTAGTGGCATTAAAAGACAGAGAAGGGAAGTAACCCCAGAGAGGGCTTTGCCTGAAGTCCTCATGGAGGGGGATTCTCCTTCCAAACACTAACCCCAACTCCCTCTCTCCTCCTCCCTATCTTCCAGATGCCATCACCAATCTTCAATAAAGGTAAGTAAAAATGTTATTTTATATGTATTACTATACATAATTAAAAACTATAGTATTTATTGTATGTGAAACTGTAATTAATCTCTATAAAATGTATTTTTTGTGTGAATATTTTTGGGTTTCTGGAACGGATTAATTGTATTTCCATTATTTCTTATGGGAAATATTGCTTCGAATTTCAGACTTTTCGAATTTAGAACTAGCTCCTGGAATGGATTAAGTTCGATTTTTGAGGTTCCACTGTAATAACAATTCAGAGCTAATTAAAATGGAAGCACATTGGTCATTTCACACCAAAGTAGTCACTCAAAGAAAATGTATCCAGTATCACTTATCAGATAAGGTCATAAAAGGATACGATAAAATAGATAAAAGAATATATCTTGGCACCTTAGCAGTAGAATAAACTGCCACTATTATAAACAAAAGTGGTTCCGAAGGTTATTAGAAATTTTTGGTCATATATAGTGGTTTATTACCCTGATGGAAATAAGTCACTTGGACTTTTTTTGGGGTTATCCTAGGTAAATTACACTAAGTATGATAATTGTACTTATGTGTACCTGTGCCTAAATAAACTTGCATACTGGCATGGGACTCAAGAGGACACAGCAAGCATTATAATGGGAAATTTAGAGAAGTTTACTAATTATGACAGATAATAACTGCTCTGCTTTTGTAACTTCACATAATTAACCACATAGTTTGTACAGTACAGTATTTTTCATGGGAGTGCCTTGATGTCATGAAGGGCTCTTCATCCAGGGTATTGAAACCACCCTCTAGCTCCTGTGAATCAAGCCTGATTATCTCCCATTTTGTTTGTGACACTTACAGTGTTTAGTGCCAGAGTGTGAGGATGGTAACATTTATGAAAGGATTCAGGGAAATGGAGGAGTATGGAACAGTTAATCTCTTAAGTGAAGAATATATTATATATATTGTTTATTAATAAATTTATTTGTGATATTTAAACATTTATCTTTCCTGTAACATAAATAAAAATTTTCTCTTGGTTTCAGCTGGGATGAGTGGGTTCCTGAGAGCCGTGTTCTAAAACTCAGTGATGCAAACCTCAATAGACAAAAGGACTTACAAAAAGCCCATGAAGCATCCCTGTAAGAAGATAATCTACATTTGGAGATCTTCATAACAGCATCCCTCATTTTGATCAAACTTTAGTTGATTTTTGCATATTTTCTTTAGCTCGCTGCAATTTCATATAATGTATATATGTACTTTTTTCTTGATGCCCCATTTACTGATATTTGTCCTATGTCTAAAGATAAATGAAATACTGTATATGAAAATTCCTTAACCTTTAAACTAAATTATATACTTTACACTTGTTCAAAAAAAAAATTAAGGTTAATTTACCTGAATATGAATTATTAGAGCCTCATATATACAGAGTTTGGGACTTGACATGCCAGTAATATAATAGGTACCTGCTATATATAGCTTGATGTACATGTAACATATGACCAGATAAAGTATATATAGCCTTAAATCATTAAATTACATGTATTCCCTGCAATTTTAACCCCCTTTTTTCTGTATTTTTTATCATGCAGAAAAAATAAGAAATCTAAGAAAGAAAAAAAGAAACTTCCCAAGGAAGTGGGTAAAGAGGGTGGGCCTGGTGGGGGCAGCAGCAGTGGTGGTGGTGGTGGTGGTGGTGGTAGTGGTGGTGGTGGTGGTGGGTGTGGGAACACCAGTGGTGGTGGTGACGACTCCAGGTCCTCCACTCCCAGCACAGACCGCTCGAGCAGTGGGCCAGGCAAACGTTCGGCAGCTTCTACCCCAACAACACCTGCCTCGGTGAAAGGTGAAGAGTCGGAAAATAAGAAAAAGCGCTCCAAGTTGGATAGCACTGTTGACACTGTGAGTAAATGACAGTGGATTTTTTAAATAATTTTTGCAATGTTGATACTGTTGGTGATATATACTAGGTTTAATTCTTAAAATATGGTCATAAACTACCTGGAAGAGTCGTGTATCATTTCAAGAAATTTTCACCATTTATGTAGTATCGTACATATGTGTAGATAGGTATTACATGCAGTGTATGCTAAGTGGCATATACTGTACATTAATGCTGTATTTATACATACACAATTTTTTATACAAGTTTTAAATAATGTTTCAACTCTCTCTCTGTTGAAAAAGACTTGAAAGTTGCTAACTAAATTAGAGTATCACTTTCACACATGTCACCATCTTGGTTACTTTTCTATTGGCTGTTAGTCTTAAATTTGTACCTAGTATTCAGACTTAAACTGCATGGCCTTTAAATTTGACACTGTTGAGGTCTCTATGCATGTCAGTTAACTGTATGACAGTGAGCAAATTATGTAGGACTTGTTCTCCCCAAGTTCTGTAGGTTGTAGCATTTTGGCTCTTCAAATAATACGAAACATACCAGTGCTTAAAGAAATTTAAACCAAAAAGTCAGCCTGGGTACATGCCTGTTAAATATTTGTTATAACAGATATGGTAAACTAAATATAGACAGTAACAATGATAAAAGATGTATGAAAACGAAGGGAAATATAAATCTGTACAAATAATGAATTTAGGAGGTGTTTTAATGCTGGTGAAGGGCTCTTTATCCAAGTCATTAGAAGTACTTTTTCTTACTTGCATCAGATCTGATTACCTCCCATTCTCCAGGCACTGTATAACCCTTTTGGGTTTAGTGCTTTCCCATGAATTTAATAATAATGATATGGATAAACCACCTGATAGAGATTGCAAGAAAGGAGGCTTCATCATGTGAAGCTAACAATGATGAAAGCTGTGTGAATGCAGTCAAGCAACATGTTTTTGTTTGTTTACCACTTGGCTGTCTCTCACCAAGGTAGGTGACCCAAAGAAAGAAACACGCGTTCGCCAACATTCTTGTCTGAAGTGTGCAGACATCATGGATGAAATGACTGCGTAATCTGCAACATCCTCGTCCATCTTTAGAGTGCAGGCACTGTACATCCCAAAGTAAAGCAAGAGACAATGTAAGGCAAATCTGTATCATTACTAAACAGTTATGCAATTTCACTAGTAAAGAGCACAAAGTAGGATATAGGCAAATTAGAAAATAAGAGAATGATAAGGGCACGTCACAATGACTTGGAGGAAAAAAATATTTTTTCTAGTGAACCCAGTAGCCCCCAAAATGTACTTTGCTTCTCATAAATATAGTCTTTCAGAATTTCATAAAAGTCCTGTTTTTCACTAATATCAGTGTGTACTTACCAACCTCACTTGAATAAGATACAAATTATTTTAAAATAAAAATTTGTAAAGTAGTACGTGTAAGATAATCATATGAATGCACAACAATTAACGATGTGGTACAAAAGCATTTAGCGAGCCCGTCATATTTGTTATAGGTTGTTTTTTAACTACCTGGTGGTGGGTGCTGCTCCTTACAATTTTTGCTTTGCAAACATTTATTCCTTGATTTAACCCTGTTGCAATGAGAACTAAAGGTGTACTGTGCACACTTGATGTCTATGGCCACAAAAAATACAAAAAAGTGATATTGAAACAAAACTAGTTTTAAAGAAGTTTGTTTATGTCAGTTAGCCGGTGTAAATTGGTTTCGTTATATGTCATTTCACTTTAAGTTACAATTTCCAAGAAACTATCAATGATGCTAGGTGAGGACTTGCTGTATGGTAAAAGGATATAGTGAATAGATGCTACATGCAACACTTAAATTGATGTGTTCTACAGGAGGGCCCACTTATATGGTGGGTTAGGTTCCAGGCCACTGCCAGAAAGCAAAAAATGCTGTAAAGCAATTTTTTTCACTTTTAAATGCATATAAATACCTGATAACATGGTTTCCATTATCATATATTAAGTTAGCAATAGAACTAGGCACAAAAAAGTAAAAAAAGTAAAATGCATATACAGTACACTAAACACTTACCTTAAAATACAATGGAACCCCGAGTTTCGGCCGTAATCCATTCCAGGATCTAGGCCTAAAGTCGAAACGGCCTAAAGTTGAAGCAATATTTCCCATAAGAAATAATATAAATCCAATTAATCCATTCCACCCAAAAATATTCACAAAAAATTAATTTTTTGAAAGAAGAAGTACTACCTAGTTTTACATACAGAAAACAATGAGAAATAATATAAAGCACTAATTTTAATAAATAAATGAACATTTAAATCAATTTTACCTTTATTGAAGACTTGTTGATGTATGAGAGAGGCAGGAGAGTTTGGAGGCAGGACAAAATAGTCCTTCAATATGACACTAATATCAACTCTACTGCTTAGTTATCTAGCACAATTCATCTAATATGTCATAATAAACAATATTAATAACATAGAAACATGATATATACTCTAGAATGAATATACAGGTCTCCCTCAACATTCGCGAGGGTTAGGGGATCAAGAGCGTTGCGAATGTTGAAAAACCATGAATGTTTCCCAATATATTGTAGGGAAATATATTACAATACTGCTTCCTTAACTTGTTGAACCATGAATAATCATAAAATACATGAAAACGTCGTAAATTGTACTAAACATATACATGTTATGCTTTAATAACGTATGTTATTTAATAACATGTATGTTATTAAATACCACAGACTCCACCAATGCCTCCACCACTGCGAGTCCCTACTACCCTTCCTCTGAGCCCCGCAACTGGCAGCCAGCCCTCCCACCACTCAGTGGGGTGAGTGTTGTTTGTTCATTATTTGCTTTTAAACTACAGAATAAATATTGTAAACCCATTCATGACTGCATATTGGAATGGCTATTAGGAAAGGTATTAGACGGTGACATCATGTGTTTATTCTTGAACACAGCAAAGAATCGAACATTTCTGCTATTGCTAATAATAACAATAGTAATAATAATAATAATAATAATAATAATAATAATAATAATAATAATAAATACGATATAATTGAAGAAGGAAATTGTACAAAAATATGAGGGAGTGGTTGACACATCGCCAGTGTGACTTTGTTTATGCTGGAGTGAACATTAGTCTCCCTGCTCTTCCAAACACTTCACAATAATTAAGCGGTTGAGGCAGTGGTATTTAGTAACATATATGTTATAAATAATAATAGTACATGTTATTATTAATAACATGTATTATTATTAACATGTATGTATTTAATAACATATATGTTATAAATAATAATAGTGCATATTATTAATAACATGTATTATTATTAACATGTATGTTATTAAATACCATTGCCTCAATCACTGCCTCTACCACTCCAGTCACACTCAATCTACAAGCACCAAACACAACGAATTATTGTGAAATGTTTGAAAGAGCAGGGAGACTAATGCTCACTCCAGCATAAACAAAGTCACACTGACGATGTGTCAACCACTCCCTCGTATTTTTGTACAATTTCCTTCTTCAATTATGTCATATTTATTATTATTATTATTATTATTATTATTATTATTATTATTATTATTATTGTTATTATTATTATTATTATTATTAGCTGTAGCAGAAATGTTTAATTCTTTGCAGTGTTCAAGATCAAACACATGACGTCACCGTCTAATACCTGTCCGAATAGCCATTCCAATATGCAGTCATGAATGGGTTTACATTATTTATACTGTAGTTTAATAGCAAATAATGAACAAACAAAACACTCACCACACTGAGTGGTGGGAGGGCTGGCTGCCAGTTACGGGGGTCGGAGGGAGGGTAGTAGGGACTCGCAGGTGGCAGGAAACATAAATATGATTTGGCGGCTGGGAATTTGGTGGCTGGGAATTTGGCGGTTGGGAATTCGCGAATGTGTGAAGCCCGTGAAAGTTGAAAACGTGAATGTTGAGGGAGACCTGTATGTCACATGTTTCTCTCCCTCACTGATGAGTATTGCTGTGGTGTTTGTTGTTGGGTGTAAAGGGGCCGCTGAAAGATAAGCCTTACATAGTGGTGGTGATGGCGGCAGCAGAGATGGCGGTGTTGTAAGTTGCCCTATATAACTCCAACAACATCAGAGGGAATCAGTTTCATGCTGTCCTTTTTCTATCGATTAATCGCTTAACTTGCTACACGTTATTGCTGGGTGGCGCTATAGCCTTTATCAACTTGTGCTGCTTTAGTATCATACATATTGTAGAATTGCTGAAGCAGGTACATTCTCCCCTCTCTCTCTTCCTCCTCCACTTTGGTACTTTGCTACAATTTCTTTCTTAAATTTTATCGTGTTTCTGACTTTCTTTACCAAAGTGCTGGCATTATGAAGTTTCTTTGGACCCATGGTGGCTTATTTCACAGTCACAATCAACAAACAAGCACTAAACACGATGAATTTATTGTGAAATGTGTGGACGAGTGCACAGGGTAATGTTCACTCAAGGATAAACAAAGCTAGATTGGCTCACGACACCTGCGTGGGCAGGCACGCAGGCGCGGGAGGTGGACAGGTCTGGAACGCCAGCGATTGGAGGCAGTGGAGATGTCCTGTCTAAGAGCAATGTGTGGTGTAAATATTATGCAGAAAATTCGGAGTGTGGAAATTAGGAGAAGGTGTGAAGTTAATAAAAGTACATGTATTAGTCAGAGGGCTGAAGAGGGGTTGTTGAGGTGGTTTGGTCATTTAGAGAGAATGGATCAAAGAATGACATGGAGAGCATATAAATCTGTAGGGGAAGGAAGGCGGGGTAGGGGTCGTCCTCGAAAAGGTTGGAGGGAGGGAGTAAAGGAGGTTTTGTGGGTGAGGGGCTTGGACCTCCAGCGTGAGTTTTTTAGATAGTGAATGGAGACGAATGGTATTTTTGACCTGACGAGCTGTTGGAGTGTGAGCAGGGTAATATTTAGTGAATGGATTCAGGGAAACTGGTTATTTTTATATAGTCGGACTTGAGTC